AATGATGGAGCTCTTGATGGTGGTTGTCTAATAAGAAATTCAAGTAAAATTTTTTTAGACGTAACATGAATGATGGAGCTCTTGATGGTGGTTGTCTAATAAGAAATTCAAGTAAAATTTATTTTAGACGTAACATGAATGATGGAGCTCTTGATGATGGTTGTCTAATAAAAAATTCAAGTAAAATTTCTTTTAGACGTAACATGGATGATGGAGCTCTTGATGATGGTTGTCTAATAAAAAATTCAAGTAAAATTTTTTAGACGTAACATGGATGATGGTTGTCTAATAAAAAATTCAAGTAAAATTTTTTTAGACGTAACATGGATGATGGAGCTCTTGGTGATGGTTGTCTACTAAAAAATCCAAGTAAACATTTTTTAGACGTAACATGAATGATGGAGCTCTTGATGGTGGTTGTCTAATAAAAAAAGTCAAGTAAAATTTCTTTTAGACGTAACATGAATGATGGAGCTCTTGATGGTGGTTGTCTAATAAAAAATTCAAGCAAAATTTTTTAGACGTAACATGGATGATGGAGCTCTTGATGATGGTTGTCTAGTAAGAAATTCGAGACGGGTAATGACGTCTAATGATGCAACTTGTCCCAAAATTTTCTACAAATGACTTTGTGTTTAAATCCCAATATGCACGTTTTGTGTTGCATTCAGTAATAAAGTATTCAGATCATCCAGTAGCCTTGCCTGTCCAATTCTTCCGTAATAGTGACATAAGTAAAACTGATAAAAATTACACTTTAACTTAATCCAGTTCACACCGTAGCAGTTGTTGTTCAAACAGTTTGTTAGCATGTCCAATACTTCCGTAATAGTGACATAAATAAAACTGATAAAAATTACACTTTAACTTAATCCAGTTCACACCGTAACAGTTGTTGTTCAAACAGTTTGTTAGCATGTCCAATACTTCCGTAATAGTGACATAAATAAAACTGATAAAAATTACACTTTAACTTAATCCAGTTCACACCGTAACAGTTATTGTTCAAACAGTTTGTTAGCATGTCCAATACTTCCGTAATAGTGACATAAATAAAACTGATAAAAATTACACTTTAAGTTAATCCAGTTCACACCGTAACAGTTGTTGTTCAAACAATTTGTTAACATGTCCAATACTTCCGTAATAGTGACATAAATAAAACTGATAAAAATTACACTTTAACTTAATCCAGTTCACACCGTAACAGTTGTTGTTCAAACAGTTTGTTAGCATAAATAACGCCTCAATCACTACTATGTTTACCGTATTCCAGCCGCCTGAAGAGCCCTGGTATTGGACGAAAGGGCCTTGCCGGCACTGGATGTAGCAGATGTGGTGTTGTTGATAATATTATTATAACTTCTTTACTTTTACTCAGAAGTTCTTGTACATAAGAAACACTTGTATCTTTCTATGTATTTATCATTATACAATTACTCTGACGTAACTACAACAAATACAGCACTGAAAATAGTATCGTTAAAAAGACGATTTCCCTGTATTTGTCATTAAAGGTTAAGCTTCAAAACAGAGCGTTATAGGCCTAGCACTCTAGTCCGTAGGACGGGTATAATTTTGTAGTATTTACAGTAATATAAGCACTTCAGCTTCTGACACGTGTGACGTAATTATTACGTCACCATTAATAAACTTCTCAACATTCAGTATACATCAGAAAATCTTATGTACGATTACGAAAACGAAACTGCTTTTGAAACAACAGCCTCACTTACAGAGAAATAAACAAATAATATTTTATTACTTAAAGGTTTCAGCCAGTTTGTACGTTTTTCGGAAATATCACAGTGTGAGTCGATATTGTCACCTTGTGTACGTGTTTTTATGTTTGTTTTTATTTCGTTTTAAACAGTACAAATTTCTCTATACTAGGTTTAGTGTGGTCGTGAATAACAAAAAACCTTGTAAACAGCATTGAATAAAATTATAGTTTTTTAAATACAGTGCCAGTTTATGGCCACTTCTATTTTTCTCAAGAAAATCGGGTTTTTCCGGGTTTGTCAACTTCCTCAGGAAATAAGGCTTCACCAGCGGTTGATATGTACATGAATTTCATAGTGGTTGATATGTACAGGACTTCAATGGTCGATGATAAGTAGACGCTGCAACGGTGGTTAATGTCTACAGAACTTCAATGGTTGATGATAAGTAGACGCTGCAACGGTGGTTAATGTCTACAGGACTTTAATGGTTGATAATAAGTAGAAGCTGCAATGGTGGTTAAGTTGATATGTACAGGATTTCAATGGTTGTTGATATGTACAGGACTTCAATGGTCGATGATAAATAAAAGCTGAAATGGTGGTTGATATGTACTGGATTTCAATGGTGGTTGATATGTACAGGATTTCAACGGTTGTTGAAATGTACAGGACTTCAAAGATGGTTAATATATATAGTAATTTAAATGGAAGATTTGAATGTCAATGGTGGTTAATATGTACACGACTTCAATGATAACTGATATACATGGGACTTCAATGATGGCTGATAAAAAGGGCTTCAATCAGTAGCGCAATTTCAGCAAACTCTTGGGGGGGGAGCAAAGTTGAACTCTAATTTCTAGAAAAATACGTGAATTGTTGATGACGTAATCAACTGTAATAACTACGGATGAGAAAAAAAACATGGAGATTTCGACTTTCACTCTGGATATATTAATATTAGTAATTTCCCATAAAAAAAAAAGAGGCTGGGATGGGGCGGATGCCTTCCCCCAAATTGGTGCCACTGGCCTCAATGATAGTTGATATACAAATGACTTCAAAGATGTCTGAAATATAAAGTACTTCAGTAATGTTTCGTATATACAGTACTGCAATTAGGGTTAACATATACAGAGCTAACTGACGATTGATAATGTTTTTAAGTATTAACGTTAAGTCATTACACTTAATAGATAAATTTATAAAAATGTTATTTCTCTGATAGGATTTGTTTTTCGAGATAAATGTGGTCAAAAGTGCTAGTAATTTCACCCTATGTTACAGGCGTTCAGCAGCATATCGTGGGCTCGAACCTTAGACTTACCGTCCGCAGCCTGGTACGCTAACCACTACATCACTCCTCACTTTTTAAAACTCGTGTTTCTCATTTTTTAACACTGATTAATATTTGACAACGTGATAGCACAGTTAACATCGATTAACACTTGACAACATGATAGCAAAGCTAACACTGATTAACACTCGACAACATGATAGCAAAGCTAACACTGATTAATACCCGACAACATGATAGCAAAGCTAACATTAGTTTATATTTGACAACATGATAGCAAAGCTAACACTGATTAACACTCGACAACATGATAGCAAAGCTAACACTGATTAATACTCGACAACATGATAGCACAGTTAACATCGATTAACACTTGACAACATGATAGCAAAGCTAACACTGATTAACACTCCACAACATGATAGCAAAGCTAACACTGATTAATACTCGACAACATGATAGCAAAGCTAACATTAGTTTATATTTGACAACATGATAGCAAAGCTAACACTGATTAACACTCGACAACATGATAGCAAAGCTAACACTGATTAATACTCGACAACATGATAGCAAAGTTAACATTAGTTTATATTTGACAACATGATAGCAAACTGAATAGTTTCGAGCATGTGACGTCTGGTTCATTCGGGGAAGAACACTCTGAGCAACAAACACTTTCTGATAAAACTTCGATATCGGTGATAACAGCACACCAGACGTCGAGGGGGGTAATGCACGCTCAAAAAAAAAGTGTCGATCTCTCTCTAGAATGACGAATTATTAATAAGTGATCGTACTTGACGACTTATTAATATGTGATCGTACTAAACAACTGTTATAAAGCCAGGCCACAGCCAGGGGGAGGGGGTATATATTTCAAACTTGAAAAGGTGTCGATCTCCTCCAAGAACAATGACTCGTGAATGAATGGAATAAAGCCGTGCAAAAGTCAAAAGGAGGTGTATATTTACTCACATTCGAAGCAACGTTATCGTCCCCCTGAACTGAGCCACTGGTAGAACCAGTGATTAACTATAAAGAAACTTTACTAACCGTGCTTTTAAAACAAGTGGCGTGATGACATAAGAATTGGGTAATCTTGTGTAACTTGTTACAGTCGTAAATAAAGAGGGTTTGTTTGTTTGTTTGTTTTGAATTTCGCGCAAAGCTACACGAGGGCTATCTGCGCTAGCCGTCCCTAATTTAGCAGTGAAAGACTAGAGGGAAGGCAGCTAGTCATCGCCGCCCACCGCCAACTCTTGGAATACTCTTTTACCAACGAATAGTGGGATTGACCGTCACATTACAACGCCCCCACGGCTGAAAGGGCGAGCATGTTTGGTGGGACGGGGATTCGAACCCGCGACCCTCAGATTGCGAGTCGAGCGCCCTAACCACCTGGCCATGCCGAGCCAATAAAGAGGGAGAGGCCCACGGATCAAACGTCGATGATTGGTTCTTAATTTACTCGTAATCTAACACAGAATCACACTTTTAAGCATTGTCTCGCTAGGAGGCATTTTCCGTTCTCCCGGAAATAACTTGGGAAAGGGTTTTTCATATCTGTAGTATTTATAGAACAACTGTAAAATATATCTCTATATAACATAATTCATTCAATGTGATTCTAGTTTGAACAAATACAAATACAGTGCAAATATACCAATATTATTACGTACAGCCTACAGCCTCGAAAACCTTTTATTCAAACAAATAGCAGAGGGCAGCACAAGTCACACAGCAGCACGTACTTACCAATCTACGTCTTACTTCATTTTCCAGGAAATAACAGTGACTTACCTGCGAGGAAATAAAAAAAAAGCAACATAATAATAATAATAACGAATCGTTAAAAAATATTATATTCTACATCACAAAAGGCTCTAATTAAATTTACGTCTGGAATAGATAATTAAAGAACGTTAGATGACCATGTCTTAGTTGCAAATTACTGTTGCATTGTTGCAGTGATTTCCATCAATGAAAGGAGATTAGAGATGAGTGGACACTAGTTCTGCGTTTGAATATTCGTGGGAAGATTTCAGAATTGACCATAACCCCTATAATGACCTCACAGCCTCAAAGTGTGGGAAGTAATTTATTTATTTTTTTGTGCTTGGTAACGGGACACGAACATTTGGCTCACAGATCCGCAGACCGGTACGCTAACCACTTACTGTGAACGAATACGGCCATCAGCTCGACAGACACGTTATTGTTTAAAGTAAAATTGACAAACCTACGACGATAATAATCACTGAAACTTATCTTCCTCAACGTAAAAACTAAATTATTGACTACACTTGCTCATGCAGATGGAGTTCCAAGTGTTCAACGAACGCCCTATAGATCATAGATT